GTAGTAGTGTTTTGTCATTTTCTTTGTATCTCTGGTTAGATTTTTTTCCTTAAGTGTTTCATCTTTTGGGTGGCTATTGTAAACAGTATTGTTTTCCTGATTGCCTTTACGGAGTTCTCTCTGCTAATGCAAAAGAATTCTGTTGATTTTTGTAGGTTGGGCTTATACCCTGCCAATTTGCTGAATCCTTCTATAAGTTCCAGTAGTTTTCTTATTGAGTCTTTCAGGTTTTCTATGTATAGGATCATATCATCTGCAGATAGAGATGGTTTTACTTCTTTGCCAATTTGGATGCCTTTTATTTCCTTCTCTTGCCTTATCGCTCTGGCTAGGATTTCCAATACAATATTGTATAAGAATGGTGATAAAGAGCATCTTTGTCAGATTCCCATTCACAAAGGGAATATTTTCAGTTTCTCTCCATTCAGTATAATGTTGACATTGGTTTTGTATTTATGCCCTTAATTATGCTGAGGAATTTACCTTTGTTCCTATTTTATTGAGCATTTTTATTAGAATGAGTGTTGGAATTTGTCAAGTGACTTTTCTGTATTGATTGATATGATCATGTTGTTCTTTTTTTTTTCATGTGGTGGGTTCCATTGATTTTTTTTTCTAATGTTGAACCATTTTTGCTTACCAGGTATGAATCCCACTTTGTCATTGTGTATTATTATTATTATTGATATGACATTGGATAAGATTTCTTTTGACACGATGTTGGATAGCCAAAGTGTCTATTGACTAGGATTTTACTGGAAATTTTTGTGTCTATATCCATGAAGGATATTGGTCTATAATTTTCTTTTTTAGTGATGTCTTTGTCTGGCTTTGGTATCAGTGTTATGCTTGTTTCATAGAATGAATTCGGGAGTGTTCCATACTATTCTATATTCTGGAATATTTTGAGTAGAATTGGTATCAACTCTTCTCTGAATGTTTGGTAGAATTCTCCAGTGAAGCCATCTGGGCCAGGACTTTTGTTGTTGTTGCGAATTTTTTGTTGACCTGTTCAATTTCTTCTTTTGTGATGGGTCTGTTCAAATTTTCTACCACAGATTGTGTTAGTTGAGTTGTTGTTGTGGTTGTTAGGTGTCCTTTCACATTCAGTGTAATTATCCACAGGTATGAATTTATTGCTGTCATTTTACTGTGCTGTGTGTGTGTGTCCATGGTATTGATGGTTTCTTTGTTACCTATATTTTTCTCTGGTGAGTTCATTTTGTTTATAAATTTTCTTATCATTTCCTTAGTTGCTATTGTTTTAGTGTTTACTAGAGCTTTATGATTTTCTTCTTTTTCATTTTGATGCCAAGGTTTATTAATTTTTCTTTGAGATTACTCTGTGATTTATCACTACCTTTCAAAGTTTCAAACAATCCATTCTATCTTGATATCATCTTAACTTCCTTTCCATTTGGAAGTTCTGTAATGACATTATTCCTTCTCTTTGCTTTGTAGTTGTCCTTGCTTACAAATTGACATCTATCATTCTCTATGTTCAGTCTTATAGGTTTATTTTATTTTTCAATATTTCTGTATCTGGGTTAGGAGCTCTGGTGGTATAGTTGTTAAGGCATTTGGCTGCTAACCCAAAGGTTGGTGATTCAAACCCGTTAGCTACTGCATGGAAGAAAGATGAGGCAATCTGTCTCCATAAAGATTTACAGCCTTAGAAACCCAAAGGTTGCTATGAGTCAGAATCAACTCAATGGGCAGTGAGTTTTTATATCTGGGTTGGTGTGGTAGTTAAGTTTGTGTGTCAACTTGTCTGGGCCTGGTTGAGTGGCTGGGCAGCTGGATGTAGTATTCCCCATGATGAGACTGGTAATCAATGCCATGGTGGAAACTACTGTGAGCAGCTGAGTAGCTCCCTTAGGGATATGGTCTGCTTCCTGTATACAAAAAGGAGAAGCCTTGGGGAACTGTCTCTAGCTTATGGCACACTTGAACCCTGCATGTAGTTGTGTCATTGTTCAGCAGCCTGCCATGCTCTGCTAACCTTGGGACTTTCAATGGACTTCAATGAATAGCCTGCCGTGTGATTTGGTAATATCGGGACTGTGTCATTTTACTTGTTAACCTTGGGCTTATTGGCCTCAGCAGCCAGCAGCTGTTTGAGTGAAGAAAATTCTCTAGCTTCAGTGGGCCAGGAGCAGGAGGCCAAGCTGAAGGCCAAGGCTGAGGAGCTTTCACCCAGCCCCTAGAGTCTGGCACTTTGAACTTGGACTTAAAGCTTCCAAACTGTAAGAGAATAAACTCCTGTTTGTAAAAGCAATCCCATTTGTGGTATATTCTTGTCAGAGCGGCACTAGGTGACCAAAACCATTGGTTTCTGGCTGGTGTTGTTATGTGTGTTAATCTCAGATTGTTGTCTGCTGATGATGGTTCTCTGTCCAAAGAATCCCCTTTCGTATTTCTTGTAAAGCTTGCCTGGTTTTTACAAATTCCCTTAATTTCTATTTATCTGGAAATGTTCTAATTTTCCCATCATATTTAGGGGATAATTTTGCTGAATATAGAGTGCTTGCTTGAGAATTTTTTTTCTTTCAGGGTTTTATATATGTCATCTAATTGCCTTCTTACCTGCATAGTTCCTCCCCAGAAATCACAGCTTAGTTTGTTGGTTATCCTTTGTAGGTAACTTTTTGTTTTTCCTGAGGTGCTATTGGCATTCTTTCTTTTTCTTTTGTTTTGGAAAGTTTGCTTATGTTTGGAAAGTCTTCGTGACTTCTTTTGGAATCTATCCTATTTGGGGTTCACTGAGCTTCCTGAATGCATATCTTCTCATCTTTAATGATATTCAAGAAGTTTTCTTCCAACAAATCTTTGAAAATTTTCTCAGTGCTTAATTTTATTCCTTTTTGTTTCCTCCTGTCCTGGAATTCCAATCACACATATATTAATTCTTCTTGATGGTATCCCACATAATTCTTAGTCTTCTTCTTCTTTTTTTTTTTTTTCTGATTGTTCCTCTAATATTGAGAGATTTGCCTTCAATTTCACTAATTTTGTCTTCCATTAATTTGATTCTATTCATTTCCCCTTTCAATGTGTTATTTTTTTCTGAAATCTTAGTATAAATCTTCTGGATTTCTATTTGCTGTTTTTGTTTGATTTCTAATTTTCCATTTATTTTGTCAATTTATTCTTACAATCTTTTCCAGAATTTTTCTGGAGTTTCATCTGTTTTGCCTTGATTTTGTCCATGTTTTCCTTGATTTTCCTCTCAATCCATTGAAAAGACCTTGATATAACTCTTTCAAATTCCTTATCTAGTAGTTCCAATGCCATTTCTTCCTCAGAAAGGTTTTCTGGCTCTCTATTTTGGTCACTTGTTTGAGCCACTTTGTCTTGTTTCTTTGTGTGAACTGAGGCTGTCTGTTGTCTCTGATTTTGTTGATTTCTATTCTTATTTTTATTTCCTTCCTTGTAGTTAATTTAGACACAGCTTAATGGTACACAGATTTGTTCAGGTAATCCATGTTTAATAAATGATTGCTATAAGCCAGATCACTCTAACGGGTCATGCAGTTGGGCTTTGGCAGAAGCAGAAGGGGAAGGTGTATTTTCTGTAGTCTTATTTTAAAATATTTACATCAGGAATTATTGTTAATATCTCTTACACTACACTGGACAGGTTCTGCCAGTCTACAGGAATATTGGTCAATTTTTGTGTACATCTTGGGCAAGAAAACCTATTGTCATTTTTACATAGGCAAGCCCAAATATATAATCAGGTGCTAGTGTGCAACTACGTGGTACTCTAGATGTATATTCCCATGGAAAGAGCATCATACCTGGTAGTTAGGCTCCCAGGCAAACCCACAAAAGCCTATACTGTGGTATGAACATTCAATCAATCATCAAAAATTACATTGTAAGTATTTGCACTTTCATTCCAATTTCCAATTCAGCTTGACAAGAACTTGTGTCCCTCCCAGTTTTCAACAACTGAGAAAGAGAACAAAGGGAAGATTTCAGAAGGACTCCAGATATCCCTAGGAAAAGGAATTCAAGTGGCTGCAAAAGGCAAATGAGGCTTTAGTTTGCAGAGTCTTTCTCCATATTCATGAACAAAAATATTTTCTTTTCCTGCATACATGAAATTATTGAATTTAATAAGGTTTATTTTAGTGGAAGAAAAAAATAGCAATCAGACTATTGAGTGTGAAACTTTTCTTTTTGGAGATTTGTTTTATTACTGTTGATTACAACACATATCAACATGGAGTAAACTGTCCACAAAATATGCTGATGTACTATATGTCTTGTGCATAAGTAAATATATTTTATCAGAAGAAAAAGACATAAAAATTCATAAAAAACTATAAAACCATCACCAAATATGTTTATATTAGGGACTCCCAGGAGTAAACAAACAAAGTTTACTGTACAAAAATTAGTTCTTTGTGTAAAAAGTCCTTTTAAATATTACCTTTTTACTAACAGAAATACATTTTTTCTCTCTTTCTCCAACTTCCTATCCTCCTCTACTTAACTCTCACCTTTTCACCTCTCATTTCCTTCTCCATGACCTCACAGCAGGCACCATGTGAGCCTGTGACACAATTACCATGCATTCATCCCAAGGATTGTTACTGCTGATGTAGCCAATGCTATAGATAGTTAAGGACATGGCTAAATTTATTCTATATTCATTTATTATTTATTAAACAGTTGTCACACTAATAAATTATTTTTGGTTTTGAGCAATGAGTCAGTTTTTAATTAGTCATTGTGATGGGAGGGAGGGCAGTCAGAATTAACCTGAAGCTCCAAATTCGAATATAATTAATGTCTAGAAGTATTTTAGATTATGCTGTATTCCATAATTATTTGATCAAGAATGATCTTTAAATAACAGGTTTTGATGGAAGCATTATCTCCTTTTATTTGCAAGAGCTTAATAATAATAAAGTTAGACAATATTTGAGATGGAGCCTAACAGAGCAAATAATTCCATGATCTCCCTGAAATCATTTTTGAATCTGACTCACCTTTGCCCACCAGCTTGACAGCATGAAATAGGTATTAACATTTTCATCTCCAAATTGTTCAGCCACATATAGTCCCAGTGATCCATACTTGTCATATATATTTCTCTTTGACATGTCAGTAAGTATTGTGTGGGCATTGTTGATTTCTTTAAACTTTTCAGCTGCAGTTGGGTCATCTGGATTCTTGTCTGGATGATGTTTCAGGGCCAATTTTCTTTTAAAATGAAAAAAAAAAAGTAAAGAAAAGTGTGATTTGTTAAGAATTACAGAGACATTTTATAAAAGCACTGTTCATTTGTACTACCTTTATTTGTACAAGTACCATAAAATACATTATTTTTAACTAAGCAATTATTTTTAATTAGTGTTTCTTGTTTCTAATATACAGGTGTAATAGTAATGTTTCTCCCCTCATATCCTCAAAGCAATTCTCTACAGAGAGTTTGTTGTTGGCAAATATGTACAGTTTAACTTTATTTGGAAGCTGCATTGACTTCCCCTGCACCAAGAGCCAACACACAGAGGCCTCTGGGAGTTCCAGCAATGAAACCAGTGTACACCAAAATTCCATTTAGAAACTTAAGACAGTGGGGAGATCAAGCTTTCCAGAATTAACAGAACTTAATATTCTGAAAGGCATAAACTCAACTATCCAAAAAAAAAAAAAAAATCTCTAATTGGTACTCCCTTGAACAAACATTATAATCCTCTTACAAATCTTCAGTGTCCTACTCCTGTTTGCTTTTCTGAATGAATATTGTGACTTTCCTTTTATTTGAATGTATATTTGACCTCTTTACAAATAGACCTTTTCATTTCAAATAATCTGTAGAAATTTGGTAGGATATAGGTCCTCTCTCCTCTATGGATCACAAAGCAATTCCCAGAGGGTGTGGGCATATGTTGTGTGTGTTAGAGAGAGATGGGGTGTTCTTTATTCTTCAATTATACTCATGTATAAAAAGAGAATGCAAATGCATAAAATGGATGTAAGAACCGAGATGTGATAAACTTCTGACTGGGAACAGATTCCTTCATTCTCCCTACCGGGAGATGAAGATTAAAGCCATGTTTCAAAATTGGGTCTGTGGTCTTTTTTCCACAACAAAGTCAATTAATTTTTGAGTCTCGTGCTCCCTTCTGTGCCTGTTATAGGTATATGTAGGAATACAGTTAAGCTTTTGTTTATTGCATTGGTTTAGATCAAATTGTTTCACCTTAATGCAGTAATAAAAGTCCAGAAAAATAAAGTATACCTTAAAAATCAACTTACAGGCAAAATTAAACACATCAAACCTACTATAGATATTAAAGTATCACTGGTTTGGAAGTAGGTAAATAATTAAGCAACTCAGCATCTTAAAAAAAAAAAAAAAAAAAAAACTCACTGCCATCAAGTAGATTCGACTCATAGTGATCCCTCCTTGGATTTCCGAGGTGGTAAATCTTTATGGAAGTAGATTGCCCAACCTTCTTTCTGAGGAGTGACTGGTGGGTTTGAACCACCAATCTTCTGGTTAGCAGTCAAATGCCTTAGGCACTTTGCCACCAGAACTCAGCATCAGGATACTTAAAAATTATCAAAATATTTAAAAGCATAACAGATGGTTTATAATCCCTTCTAACTTTGAACTCAGAATAAACAAAAAGTAAAACAATGGCTTATTTTAAAGTTGTTTAAACAAAACATTTCTCTTTCTTCTCTTTGAGAGATAATTTAGGGGTATCTGTGAATTCTTGGAGAATATTTTTATACATTGGAAACATATTTTTATGTTAGAATTTATGATGAAATTTTCTGCTAATATCACAAATGACTATTTTGTCATTTGCTTCACCTTTTTAGATTATATACATGCTAGACTCGATGGCACATAACAACACAACAACAACAAGTCTTACTATGAGAAAAAAAAAAGTCAGGGAGATTCTGGAAAGATGGCAGTGTGAGCAGGTCTAAAATCCCAACTCTGCCTTAGAAGCACAAGAGGATGCAATTAGAAATCCATAATCTCAACTCAGTAAGAACTTGAAAAGTAGGATTACAGAAACTAACCTTACAATAAAACAAGGTAAAGGCTACATTTAAGTAGCAAATTTATTCCTAGCTATTTTATTCTTTTTGATGCTACCTTAAATAGAATTGCTTTCTTCATTCCCTTTTCAGGTTGCTCATTGCTGTATATGGAAACACAACTTATTTGTGTGTGTTGATCCTGTAACTTTGCCCAATTCTTTTTTATTGGCTCTATTAGCTTCTTATGGGGTTTGGGATTTTCTATATGTAGGATCATGGCATCTGTGAAGAGAGATAGTTTTACTTCTCCTTTTCCACCTGGATACTTTTTTCATCTCCTTCTCCTTCTATTTTCTTGCCTAATTGTGCTGGCTGGACCTTCTAGTACGGTGTTGCAAAGCAGAGGTGAAAGCAGGCTTCCTTGTCTTGTTCCCGATTTCAGATGGAAAGGCTTTTAGGCTTTCACCATCGCATATGATGTTAGCTGTGGGTTTTTCTTAAATCCCCTTTATCATGTTGAAGAAGTTGGGTGGTGGTTTTGTCCAATGCCTGTTCTGCATCAATTGAGATGATCATGTGAGTTTTTTCTTCATTCTATTAATGTGGTGTATTACACTGATTGATTTTCTAGTATTGAATCACTCTTGCATCTGAAGAGCTGAAAATTCAGTTTGTCCCCTTAAATTACCCACTACCAAGTTAGAGTGAGAAAAAGAAAGATAGAAAGTAGAAAAGTCCTCAAAATGCTACAATCATCATCAGAAAAGCCTCAAGTGGATTCTTTAAGCACATTAGTTTTAATGGCACAATATTCATGGAATTTTCACTCTGTGCTCTGGAATAGTAATTGCAATATGAATAGTTCCAAAGACATCATGTTCAGGCCAATCACATGAAAGAGCTGTTGCCAATGCTTTGAAAGGCACAAATCCCTAGAAAAAGCTGCTCACCATTCCTTCCCTTGTTTCTAAGGTTCAGTAACAGACTGATGCACCCTACCCAATGCTTAGCCAGAGAAACTGGGCTTCCTATCATTTTTCAAGCTGTTTGGATCTTTCTCACTTTACAAGGGCAAACACCCTCGATCCATTTACCACACTTCTCTAACAATGGAGCTGACAAATCTGGAGAACTGGAACACTTCCATTTGTAACAAATCCAATTCCTGGTCATCAGCAGCATTTTGACTCCTCTTGGTAGATATTCTTGGCTCTGAGGAATTTTCAGAAAATATGGGTAGCAAGGAGTAGCTGCCAAAATTACACAACTGCTCAAGGAAGTCATTGATCAGTGACCTGTCCCCTTGTGAATTGTCTAAGGGAAAGAAACATTTGTGGAATTGAGGAGTTTTTGAGTACATTTAGGGAGCTCTGGTGGCATAGTATCTAAGGCATTTGACTCCTAACCAGAAGGCTGGTAGTTCAAACCCACCAGCCACTCCTTGGAAGGAAGACTGGACAATCTACTTCTGTAGAGATACCACCTTGGAAACCCAAGGAAGGCTTGCTATGAGTCGGATCAACTTGATGGCAATATGGCAGTGAGGTTTTCTTTTTGAGTGAGCACATTTTAAATTTAATATCCACCTATTAATTTTAAAGATCCTTTTTTGAATTCCTAGGAGCTCTGGTGGCACAGTGGTTAAAGCTTTTGACTGCTAACCAAAAGGTCAGCGGTTTGAACCCACCAGCCGTTCCACAAGAGAAAGATAAGGCAGTCTAGTTCCTCAAAGATTTACAACCTTGGAACTCTGTGGGGGCAGTTCTACTCTTTCCTATAGGGATGAGTTGGAATCAACTCAAAAGCAGTGGGTTTTTTCTTATTTAGGAAAGCTGGTTGACATTTGAGCCTTAGGGAACTACGTTCCTTGATGGCATGGTTGTCTCCAGTTGACTTGCTCTGCACAGTATTTTCCCAATTACTTTCTACTACTTCCAATTCCCCCATTGTTCTATGACTGTCTACTAAAATCCTTCAATCACATGATTTATTGCCCCTCCATTGTTCCAGAAAAAACCACTGGAAGTCTAAGGCAAAAGAGAAGAAGGAGGGTGAAGCATCAATTTCTCCCTATACATAACTGCTGGTTGTTAGCTGCCATTGACTGGGCCCCCAACTCATAGTACCCCATGCACAACAGGAAAGAAACGGTCCTGCACCATCCCCACAATCAGTTACAGAACAATCTGCATTACATTGTGACTACATTTTGATCATTAAGGTAGTTTTTGGAAATAGATCACCGGGCCTTTCTTCCTAGTCTGTCTGGAAGCTCTGCTGGAACCTGTCCAGCATGATAGCAACACACAAGCGTCCACTGGAAGACAGGTGGTGGTTGTGCTTGAGGTGCATGGGCTAAGAATTTAACTGGGTCTCCTGTATGGAAGGCGAGAATTCTACCACTGAACCACTACTGCCCACTTCTATATCTTATTGTTGTTAGTTGCTGATGAGTCACTTCTGACACATGGCAACTCCACGTGTGCAGAATACAACTGCTCCATAGAGTTTTCAAGGCTGTGAACTTTTGGAAGCTGATCCCCTGGCCTGTCTTCTGAGGTGTCTATGAGTAGGTTCAAACTGCCAACCTTTTGGCTGTAATCAAACCTTTAACTGTTTAAAACTATTTCCATCACTAAACCAGCATCTACGGCAAGGCTGACCTCATATTAGATAAATACTTCTCTTTCCAGAAAAAGAAATGATTTGCTGTGATGGGAAGAAAATTGGCTGTAGACAGAGGAATGAACAGTGGTAAACCAGGATCTACAAGTGTAGACAAACCCTAGTTTAGTAACATCTATGCTCTGGTAGCATAGTGCCTAAGGCACTTGACTGCTAACCAGGAGTCTGGCAGTTCAAACCCACCAGCCACTTCTCAGAAGGAAGATGAGGCAATCTACTTCCGTAGTGATACTGCCTCGGAAATCCAAGGAGGGGTCGCTATGAGTCGAGTCTGGCCTGGCTTGATGGCACAGAACAGCAACAACAACAGTGCATATGGAGAGTCAACACTGGTCTAGACTGTGGAACTAGAACATCTGATTGTATAGGAGGATCAATGGAACTCCTATGCCCTACGTAGGAACCCCTACGAACTGAGGCAAAATCCAAGTGAAGGTGCAAGAAACCAGTGTATGAATTCCAATGCTGCACATATTGCCAAGCATTTTAATATTTGTCAATCTGGTGATTGT